AAAAAAATCTTAAAAAATAATGTGATCGCTAAAAAGAAAGTATTCAGTGAAAAGGTTACCGCTTTGATGATAATTATTTCCAGTAACTTTAGAGCACAGTAATCTCACTGTGGAGATATAGTCTAAGGACAAAAAGAATTGCAGAGAAATCTTGAATTCTCCCTAATAATATTGAAGATAATTTGAAACATAAACCAAGTAATTCTCCTGATGTAATTAGGAACCAAGATTTCAGCAATAATAAAAAATTAAAGCCCAGTAATTCCTAAATTTGAATTAGAATTATCAAGATAAATCCAAAATGTGTTTTCTCTTGAAAATATATATCCCAACTTTGTCCACTGAAGAGGTTTATAACAATAACTACCCTAGTAGTAATGGTACTCCTAGTGCCCAGATCTCTAAAACACATTTCCCGCTACAAAGAACCAGGGTTCCTCAGAGAAGTAGCTAATTCCAGGGCAGGAGCAGGAAATTTACAGAATGAGCCTTGCCACATATTCTCTGACTAGAAAGCAAAGTTATCAAAACCTACTCAGATCATGTCAAAAGAACACAGAAGCCAGCTTGAGGGAGCTGCTCGTGGCCACCATTTGGACAACCGAAGCATCAAATTATTCACTGCAACAGATTAAAACACACAGAATACGTTAAAAATCTATGTATATAAAACATACTCACTGGCTATCTTTGGAGATTGCTAGCACATCTGTTTTCTCAAAGCAAAGGCAAAGAATGAAGCATTTATCCTGTTTTTCCTGAACAAACTCTACCTCTTCAGGGTAACCAAAAAATTACTTAAGGGAAAGTTTTTTCTTACGGAAGAATTCCAGCAAAAAGATGCAAAAGAAGTGATATAATTAGAAAACTACCATTTTATAACTCCTAATGAAATAGCGGGTATAAGCAATGACTGCTAAAACCATTCTGCAAAAAATGCTGGACAATTCTATGATAGATGAATCAGGCTGTCAACACTTCATCAAAATAAACATCACAAAAGTGCACCAGACATTGTGCTTTCGCTTTCTTCCTTCCTTTCTTCTTTCTTTCTTTTTTAAAGATTTTATTTATTCATTTGAGAGAGAGAGCACGAGCAGGGAAGAGAGGGAGAAGTGGGCTCCCTGACTCGGGGCTTGATCCCAGGACCCTGGGATCATGACCTGAGCTGGAAGGCAGACGCTTAACCAACTGAGCCACCCAGGTGCCTCTATGTGCTTTCTGATATGATACAAAAGAACACACATGCAACACTTTGGATTGTCAAATATACAAACTTGAATCCGATTAAGCCTCTAGGTCCAACTACCAGTTTACAGGAAAAACAAGGCAACAAGAAATGACATCATAAGGATATCATCACCAAAATCCAGAATGTAGTAAATCCTATGGGAAAAATTTACCTGCTTTCAACAAACAGAAACAAAAGGAAAAAGCACGTGTGGGGGAAATCCATAAATTACAAGACTTAAGCACACATTAACCAAACTCAAAGTGTGAACCTTGTTCAGATCCTAATTTAAATAAACAAAATGTAAAAAAATGGACACAAGTGGGGTAAACACTGGATATTTGGTATTAAGGAATTATTGCTAATATTTTTAGGTGTGTTAATGACTGTAGTTATGTATTTAAAAGTCATCTTCTTCCCCGTTGTATCTTTTTTTCCCCAATAGATGTTGGCACCCTTATGTACTGATTTTTTTTTTTTTTAAGATTTAATCATTTGAGAGAGAGATAGCAAGAGAGAGCATGAGCAGGGGGCAGAGGGAGAAGCAGATTCCCCGCTGAGCAGGAAGCCTCACTCAGGGATCTCAACAGGGGGCTCCACATGGGGCTCAATCCCAGGGCCCTGGGATCATGACCTGAGCAGAAGGCAGATGCTTTAACTGGCTGAGCCACCCAGGTGCCCCTTTATGTACTGATTTTTATTTTTTTCTTTTTTTATTGTTATGTTAATCACCATACATCATTAGTTTTTGATAGGTTATTGTTATGTTAATCACCATACATCATTAGTTTTTGATAGGTCATGATCCCGGGGTCCTGGGATCGAGCCCCACGTCCAGCTCCCTGCTCAGCGGAGAGCCTGCTTCTCCCTCTCCCTCTGCCTCCCACTCT